CATTCACTAAGCTTTTTCTCCCATAGATTATGTCCGAGTTTTAATCTTTCTTCCTAAAGATTTTTATTTAACATGAAAAATAAAATTGTTTATAATTTCAGATATTAGTAACCAGACTCCAACTGGGCTTCTATTTAGTACACTGGCTGCTCAAGCAGATAGCACAGAAAAAACAGCATTCCAAAAAGGTAGCAATTTTTGTTTTCTTGTCACACATTTGAAATTGTGATAAATTTACATAAATCTAATTTTTTACATTCGGTTTTCATAATTTGCTTGTGCCCCTTGCTTGGAAACTAGTAAGTTGTTTATCAAATAGATAAGAAAATGTCATCAAACATCTAAAGAAAACCTGAAATATAAACCTGGCCACATTCTGCTGGCATGCGAGAATTTGAATATTATTGAAAATTGTGTTCATGGTTATCTAATAATTTAATATTTATGAAGGGCCTGAGAAACATTTCTTTTGAATATGATCAGCCCATGTATATTTCAACTTTAGCAGACCATATTCAGGAAAAACTAATTTTATGAACTTTTATTTAGATTATTTTTCTTCCTTGGAATATGAATGTATTTAAAAAGAATTGTCTTCAATTTTTCTTTTTACTAGAAAATTTTAAATTTTGCTTGTATTTTAGATAGTAGCAAGCCTTTCACATGGCAAGGTGCAGGTCAGAAATTGTTTGGTGCTTCACTTGACAGTACTAAGGATGATGATGATGTAATTCCAAGCCAAGATATCCATTTTGAGCCAGTGATTCCATTGCCAGAACTTATTGAGCGTAAAAGTGGTGAGTTAGTAACAAACTTATTGTCTTTCTGAAAGTTTCTGCTTCTTTTTCTGTTTGCCAAACATCATCCAATTTAGTGTTCCATTCAAATTGTGTTTTTTAACAGGTATTAAAATATCTATCTTGTTGGAGGTTGTATTTTATTTCATGTTTTCTCTTTAATCATTTGCTTTCACTGGTTAAGAGTTTTTTTTTTTTTTTTTTTTTTTTTTTTACTTGCAGGTGAGGAAGATGAAACTCCAATATTTATAGAACGAGCCAAGTTGTTCCGTTTTGATCAAAATGAGTGGAAAGAGAAAGGCATTGGATCAATGAAAATTTTGAAACACAATACTGATTGTAAGACAAATCTTGATATAACTATCAAATCTAGCATTCATTTGAATTCAGAAAAAGTAGGAAAATATTTATAAAATAACAGAGCTCCTAATAAGTTTGAAAAAGTTTTTAACCAATTGTAGAAAATGCAAAAAATGAAGTTTGAGGAATTAAAATAATCTGCAAAGTACTGTTGGTACTTACACAGAAATAACCATGAGTATTATAAGCCAACTATTTCTCTGGGTTTTAAAGGAAAATAAAGTTCAGCTACCTAAATTTGGTTTAAAGAAAAAAAAAAAAATGAAAATATTTGAAACGCCATCTAAAAAGAAAAAAAAAATGATAGGTCTTCTATGATGGCACTTGCATAATTTTGTAGACTAAAAATACCCCCTCTCACATAAAATCTGTTGTTGGCAATATGCAAGTAGTTTCAAGAACATTAATTAACTGTTTCCCTATTGACCACCAAATTATTTTCATTTTAATCATGTGTTGAACCAACAAATTTACTCTGCAGCCCCAACCTTACCACTGCTATTAACTAACTTCAGTTAAAGGACCTGCTATTAGAATCCTAGTACCAGATCTCTAGAATCCATATCCAAATGAGTTAAGAGTTATTTTGTGGTCATAGGGAGGAGGACCAGCACTTTATTCAAAGTCTTTCAACTGTAACAACCTTTTAGTAGAGTAACTTCATAAAATCCAAATCTGCATGCACAAACAATCTCTTGTTCTTTCCACAATCAGAAGTTGTAATCTTGCACTCATCTCTGGAGGAAAAATCACTATTGGTAAAGAATGTCTTGGTGGTTTTGTGTGGGAGTGAATTAATCAGTCTCTGTATTCTTTAGACTGGTGGAAACATGACAAATACATTTAAAACTAGTTTGAATAACTTAGCATTTTAGTCATATGTGAGAAAAGAAATAAAGTATTATTTTAAATGAAGCTTTTTTTTCTCCTTGATAGTACGCTTCCGATTATTATTGCGGAGAGAACAAGTCTTGAAACTGGCATGTAACCACACTTTGACTGCAGCTCTTAACCTGAAGCCACTGGACACATCTGAGAAGTCATGGTGCTGGATGGCCCATGATTATACTGATTCAACGACGGGTCAAGTAGAATTGTTTGCAGTTAAATTTAAGGTGAGTAACATATCCTCCTGTTAGTTTAAGTGTTATAATACTTAGCCCTTGCTGACATGTCTTGTTATTCAATTTTATCAAGGCAAGTGATGATAAACAAAGTGAAACATAATGTAGTTAAATGAAATTCAATAATTTTAAGACACTCCTGTGTCAGCCTCTTTTTGAATATTAGTGACTTTTTTTTTTTTTTTTTTTTTTTTTGACTGTGTGCATGTTTTGTTTTCCTTTCATCACAATGTATGAAATTTCTCAGCATATATTAGTAGAATAGATAAATTGAATAAAATAGACAATCGGAAAATAATACTTTGTCCTTGATGATGCATTTTGTTATTCATCAAAATCTTTTTGCCCAAAAGAAAAATGTTTCTAGTGCTATTTTTATGTTGTAAATACTGAGATTTCTGCCTTATTTATTTATTTATTTATTTATTTTCCCCCCCTCAGACAATTGCCATTGCCTCACGATTCCAGAAATGTTTTCTTGAATGCCAGGAAATATTAAGAAAAGCAGAAGAAACAGAAAGTAAGAAATCTTTAATTCTTTTCTTTAATCCATTTCATTCTTGGTCAGGCAAATGACTTTTAGTACCTCTTTTATTACCTAAGGTATAATAGCTTTAGCTTTAACTCATCAGTAAGTTTTAACAGAACTATATACCATGAAAAATAGTACATTAAAACCATAAAATTATTCTTTGGGCAGAAATGTTAACTAAACTCATTAGAAGTATAAGTGAAAGCTTGTTAACTATTTTCACCATATTGTATTAAATTTTGTTCCTATAACATTGATTATGAATAGTAAACTTACCATTGGGTGTCATGGAGTTGGAAAATGGTCAATTAAAACCAGGTACCTCCACTATTTTGGTATACATAAAGTTTAAAATGAATTTTCATAAATGAAAAAGCTCTCTTGAAGCTTTCATTGAAAGCGAAAGTATTAAATATACTATTCCCACTAAGCAAAATACTCTGTATTTCAAACAGACAGTATATTGATTCAAATCGGTGTTTGTTTTTTGTTTTTTTTTCTAAAATAGCTGATACCCCCCCCCCCGCTTTTTAGGGCTTTCATCGCAATGTAATTTTCTGTATTAAAAAATCTGAAAATAAAATATCCTTTTTTGAAACTTCAAGAAATATTAGCTGATTTAAAGTATGATTTACTTTTAAGTTGAAAATAACAAATGTATTTTTAAAAGATTTACGTGATTTTATTGGAGTTTTTATTTTGATTTGGAGCAGATTTTTGGGAATTGAGTAACTGTTTGAAAAAAAAAATGGATTATTTACATTTTCTAAGGAGTCTGGCATCTAGCTAATGAAACACATTTAGAGTATGGAATTTAATTTCTAGAAATTTCATGAAATTAAGTGTGTGAGGGGAGGGTTACTGATTTAATAAAAAATAAGAATTACCAAGATTTTTAATTTCAAAAATTTGTGAATAAGTACTGAAAGTGTCATTAAAATCTGAATTATTTTATTTTTGCAAGAATTTCCAAATTAATGTTATTTTTCTAAAAAGGTACTAAAATTTCCATAGCTAACTCTGTTGCACTGATGCATAAAAAAAAAAAATTTAACCAAAATTTTGAACATGTGAAAGGAGTAAAAAAAAAAAAAAAAATACTTTGGTGTTTCTTTTAATAACAAACATTTTGGCAAAAAAACTTTTTTTTTTTTTTTTTATTTATTCAACCAAAATTAGCTAGCCTGAGTAAAGAAAGCACATTGTTTTGCTGAGACATTGCTTGTTGGTTTGAAATAAACTCTCTAATTAGGCTGAGCTTAAATAGGCTAAATTCTGGAGTAATCATTGATTTTATTATATATATATATATATATATATATATATATATATATATGTGTGTGTGCAGATCTTATTTTTTGTGTGTACAGTAAATAATGCATTCAATGTAAAAAAAAAAAAAAAAACACTTTTGCCAGCTTTTACAGGAAATAAATAGTAACTGTTGTGTTAATTTTATTTGTGGTTATCAGATTTAAAGAGGGAGATTCTTCTAACTCTTGATATGTTTAATCATTAATCAAAGTAGTATACCTAACTCTCACATTGAATAAAACTTGTGGATTGGGAAGGATTTTGTATGAGTTGAGATTGTACATTTTCTTTATCAGGTAGTGTGACAAAAAATGTAAATGACATTGATTTATTAGAAATCGAATCTCTACTGTATTTTGATCTGGATTAAACAAATGTTTCAGAAACTGATAGTTGCTTGTCTGTTCCTATAAATTTTAATCTCTCTCTCTAGATTAGAAGTGGGGACAAAACACTCACAGCCACTCTTAGGAGTAAACATGGAAAATATCACCCAGATTTGTGCTTTCAATATAGGACTCTTCTTTTCATTGTCAGAATTAGTATTCTCTCACTACAATCAGGTTCCAAGTGTCTCTTGAGTTTTTTTTTTTTTTTTTTTTTTTTAAATAATACTGAAGGGTACTACTAAAGATATACACTTTTGGATAAAAGCACCATTCCTTAAAATTTTTATCTGTGGTTGCCATATCCTGCCATAGTCTCGTTGTCTTTTGAACCTGTTTGATAACTCCCTGGTTTTCACTTTTTTTTTTTTTTTATATACTGATGCTGCTTTGTTCAATAAGCAGTGTCCTGTTACAAGTGGGGTGGGTGTCCACTTATAGAATAGAAAAATTAAGGCAAATAAGGTGTTAAAAGTTAGTGAAACTTTTTTCTTTTTTATGTAAAAAAAATAAAATAAACATGAATTTAGTTGAGAAATGGTTGTCATTTTTTTGTTTAGGCAAAACTATTCAGTCTGATAGTAATATAAATGAATTGGAGAAGAGTATAAAGCAACTGAATGTTGAGCAAAATACAAGTGATGCAGACTGTGTTGATGAAGAAAATGAGGATGAAGAGGATGAAGAGGAAGAAGTAGAGGAGGAAGAGGAAGAAGAGGATGATGAAGAATATGAAGATGAGGATGATGAGTATGAACCAGTGTTTGACGCAAAAGCCACCTTGTCATATATGGAAGATGGCAAATGGAAAGTGAGTGTGATTTTATTTATTAATCATATTGGATTGGGTTTTCATACCAAATCTTTGTTCAGATCATGAATGAATGTTTTTTTTTGTTTGCAAGTGATTTTGTCAGTGCCCCTTTGTGTGTGTTATATATGATTGATGGTGGTTATTGCTGACCCCACTCCCCAGCATCCCCTACTTTAAATAGAAAGCAGGAAACCAATTCCACTTAGATTGTCTATTCTTAACCAAAACAATATCTTGGTTTTCAAGCATTCTGTTGCTGTAACTTGCATGTACATTACAGATAAGTTTTCCTTATTCCACACATTTTAACCACTTCATCTTTTGGCCAGTATTTTTTTTCAAATTGCAAGAATTTTCAACAAAGAAAGGAATTAACTTTGAATACAGCTCAAAATCTCATTTCATTAACAGTACATTTTGTGATAAAAAGCAACAAAAAGATGAAGATTCTCCCCACTCTATTTTATTCACTTATTTTTTTTTTGTTTTTTTTGTCACATTTTTTTTTTTTTTTTTTATTCTGTCTAAGACAATTTTGTATCCATTTATCATAAAATGGATTTGAGAATTATCTTGCACAATTGTAAAATAGTTGTTTCTTTCTCTAAGTCTCTTAAGTCTCGTTTGTTGGTAATTTACAAGAGTAAACCAAGCAAAATACTTTTTGCCAGAAATATTTGACAAAAAAGATGAAAATAATTTAAAGAAGGAAAAATAAAATAAAAAATAAACAATTGTAGGTAATAAATATTTGTAATAAAATATAGAAAAATTTAATACTTTAAAATTGATGAGGTTTTTAAATCAAAAAATATAAATGTCAGTTGTCAGGAGTTAATGAATATGAATGAAATATTTTTCATATTTAAATTTACATAAGACAGGCAGCAAGTGCAATAATTTCAATGTGAGAATGATTGTTCACAAAGATAAACAATGTTTGAAGAGAGGACCTCATAAAAACAATAGTTGGCAAGTTCATTACACAAACCATTCGTATTTGGGTTTTAGAAATAACTAAGCAAAATAACAGCAGATACCTATACAGTCGGTGTTGGGTGGGGTTAATATAGTTTTCATGTGCATGCAAACACAGGCATACACAGTTTTTGCATACATGTTAAACTAATATTTACTAATTTTTTTTTTTTTCTCCAATAATTTAAGCACTTCTGGTTAAATATTTTATTTGTAGGGAAACTAAAGTAAAATCTGATTCTAGCTGAAAACCTTGTAGGCTTGTTGACAAAACTTTAGGACATTGTTTCTGACATGCACAACTTTTTTCAGTATGAAGTGTCATTAATCTCAAAATATTAAGTTACCCCCTCCCCCACTGCTGTTTTACCATTCAAGACTGAATATTTGATGTCTGAACAAGGTTTGCATAAAACAATTGCAACTGTCTCCACTATATTCAAAAATTTCTTTTAGCTGTAAAAACGAATTGCTACTTGTCAGTAAGAGATAATAATTTGAATTGTAACAGTGGACGACAGGGTAGTGGGTAGGAACAATTGTAGAAAATGAAATTTATATCGATACTGAATGAATAAATGAACTTACCTGCACTATAATGACAAGAACTTGATTTAAGACATTTAAAGAATTTCTAAACGTAATCAAGACTTTTCCAATAGATATTTTATTTGTTCTAGATTTATTTCCTCCCACACACTCTTGACTTGTTCCTTTTCTTGATTGCAAACCAGTCTGACTTGAGCCTTCACTTGGCCAAAATGAAAGAACAGATCAGGCTGACTCACTCAGGAGAATGATGGAGATCAAATCCAGTATTGATTATTACTTTGGTAAATTCAATCAAGGTTGTTTTTAATTCTATTAAATTATGAAATATAGATTTCCTGCTTGCAATCTGTACTAGTGACATAAATTTTTCATCGAGAAATACATAGTATATAAAACGTTTACATCTGGCTGCACTCAAATGTAAAATACTTTTCTGATTTAAATCATGGAGATGCGTGATTCATTTCTAATATTCAAATTTTGGGACCATTAATAACAATGTAAAATTAATTTCACCTTTGTAAGGCTGAGGCATTGTTACTAGGGCATTATACCATTGAATCTGGCACAAAGTATTTTACAATATATGTAACACTATTTGGGTTGCTGGTAATTATCATAATGGCAACTTAAAATATCAATGAAAACGAGATGATGATGAATAACTTAGCATGAAAAGGGTTAACCAATATTGGGGGGAAGAGTGTGGGGAAAATAAGCTGATAGTAAGATTGTTTCCAGAGAATCATAATATGTACAATGGACCAGATGACCGCCTGAAAGCGATTCTCAGTTTGTACGAACAAATCGGCTGTTGACAGACTTGTGGCAACCAATGCCTGGATCTGACAAAGGAATTTGAGTAAAACTAAATTAATTCATTTTGCAGGATGTCAAAATAAAAACCAGTGAATTAAGCACCTGCAGCTGAGCAATTGTTGCCATGATGGGAGTTGAAAAACTTTTCTGGGGGAAAGTCTCTCTTGGGTCAAAAGTGAGAAAGCCAATTGTGGTGTCAATTCACTTATGAGATAAGAACATTGGCCTCAGACTTCAACCTTGAGCCAAACTCACTAGCTTAACCAAGTGTTGCACTCAATTTAGGAACAGGTTGGGTCAACAAACACCTATATGCAAACGCAACTACTAATGATGCAAAATTGATATAAAAAGTTTTTTTTTTTTTTTTTATATATATATATTTCGAGTGCTGTTTTTTTTTTTTTTTCTCTCCAATTTTATCGTACAACTTGGCTTGACTTAGACCAGTCCAGCTGAAGACACCTGCAACGAATCAATCTTGGCCTCTTTATAATCAAATCAATCACAATGTGGGGTAAGGTGTGTCAGGATTGAAGAGATCACTCCATTGATCAAACTAGGACCCACCCTGGGCTGACGATGACAAAAGGTTACATCTGTTGCCATTTGTTGTGAACCAGGATTGAAGTGTTACATATACACTGGCACTAATTTTGAACTTTCAAGGTGTTTGAAATTTATGAAAAGCCATCTTAAGTTTTTTTTTTTTTTAATGGAAATAACACCATCTAGGATACTAGATTTTATAAAAGCAATTGGAATGTACTCAAAAATGAGTGGCCAAATAGTACTGCATATATATATATATATATATATATATATATTCTACTAAACTATGCTAAAATTCATTCCAAAACAGTGTCAGCATTAAATGACCCACTGAGGTTGATATGCCATAAAACAATAACCAACCAACCAAAAATTGTATACATGTAAATGCGATCCTTACCAAAAAAATATACAGTGACTTAACCTATATCCTCACAGTTTGGTTTTCAGTGTCTGCTGTTAGACTTATCTAAGCAAATATTTACATATATGAAGGATGGTAAAGAAAACCTTTTCATTCAGGTGAAACAAAAGATGGTAGAGGACAAATTAAAATAAAGAATTTAACATTTGAAAGTAGGATATCAAGATATAAATACCATTCTTTAAAACATGACTTTCTTAAAAAAAATGAAAATAAAATATAAACTTTAATACAGAATCCCAGATTTTTTCTAACTTCAATTGATATTTAATCAATTTTTGAGTCGGAAAAATGTTTGTCCTATAATTTTAGTCTATCACTCCGCATTATGAAACGCTTGTCTATTATGCCATTTTTGAAGCTTTTAACCCATTATTAATAAACTCTGTTCATGTTTGAAGTTCTAAAAAGATATAAGATATGTTGGAAGTAATATTTGAAACCTGAACTGCACTAGAGGGTGTAAGCTTACATGTGGCCTTTGGCATTAATTGGTCTAATAATTAAAGGTATCTATGGAATATTTGCCTTGTTTTGGAGTCTTTGAATTATGGCCCTTCATCTGTAAGCTCCTTAATTCTCATATTTTTAAGTCTTTTACTTTTTCTGTGTATGTGTGCCTCCTTTATAGATTTTTTTTTCTTTTTTTTTTTTTCTCATGGTAAAAAAAAAAAATTCAGTTCTCTTCCAAAATCTATCAGATTTTGAGATTCATTTGACCCACCCACCCTCCTTTTGTCACTTTTTGTATGTGGTGTGAAGCGCTCTTGTGATTGTTCAGTCCAAATGAAAGTTTGTCTTCTGTTGCAGGTGGCAGGAAAGGGTAATCTGCTTGTTGTGACTGGTGACGATGTCAGCAGGATGAGCATTCGTATGAAGGCTGACAATAGCAACTTGATATGTAACCACATGATTACGAGAGAAACACAATTGAAGTGAGTTTGATTGTGCTAGTTTGGGGGTTCTATACTGGACAGATGGAGTGTGACTTGCTATGGTTGCAAATATCATTACATCATCAGTAATTTTCTTTTATATATTTGTTCATAACTCCCATTATGGTTTTATTCACTCTATTCTGACCTTTCTATGCCTGGAAAAATTGGGCTGTTTAAACTTTTAATCCTTTGATATAAACTACAACCAAAATTTCACCAGAAATATCCTTTTCATAAAATTGCCCATCTCTATTTAATGAACTCTTCTGATGCAATACAAATAAGATTTTTAAAAATATAAATTGAAAGATAAAATAACAATTTGTCTTAAATTATTTTTAGCTTGCAGATTTTAGATTTTGTAGATAAAGGGATAGAAATTTAGTAATTACATGATACTTGTAAAATATCAAGTTTTTTACACATCTTGAGTAAACTGATTATCAAACAAAACTAGTGGAATTATGATTCAGTTTGCTATTTTATGAGGAATGGCAGATCTTGGACTCTATTATTAATTTAAAATAATTGGTAATGATTTAAAAAAAAAAATGCCCTAATTTAACTATTGATTTTCAAAAATTTGAAGAATAAGTTCTAAGAAACTAGAAATTTGAGTATTAGGAAGCAGTATAATTTTTTAACATTCTGTAAACTTACCTGTAAATTTTTTTTTTTTTTTTTCCTTTTACTATCACAAAAATACTGGAAAATATATAAGAATTCTACAAAAAAGTCAATTTTAGTATTTTTGTTAAATTGTGCAGTATTAAATTTTAAATAAGGTTTTTTTTTGTCTTTTTCTCTCCTTTCATACTTTAGGCAGGGTGAGAGAAACACTGCTGTTTGGGTTGCCATGGATTATGCTGTTGATGAACCTGTAAAAAGAACATTCAAAGTTGAATTCCTCTCTGCAGGCCCCTGCAAACAATTTGAAAAAATTATTAAAAGGGTAACTTTCTCTTCCAGAACTGTTACAATTTTAAATAAATTACTCACAAAAATACAATTTATCAATACAACACTTTCCCTTTTCATTTAAACACTTAGGCATAGTTACCTAATTACTTGACCATTCTTATTTAACTGAATGGCATTAGATTTGTGTTAGGTGCATGTGAATCAGGTCTCACTACCTTTTTGAAAATTCAGTCTCTTCAATAGGTTCTGGTAACATGACCGGAGTGCTGATATCCATTTTAGTTGATTAAAATTTGATTCTGATGTCATATACATGCAAATATGACCCACATGTCTTTTTCCATACATGGTCATAGCCAAACTTGAAATGTCAATTGGTCAAACTATTCTTCCAGAACCCCAGGCATTTATTTGGGTTTTCCTTAGAAATCTCCAATATTAACTGCATCTTCAACATTACACCCTGCCCATAGTCCCTTATATTTGCAGACGTTTTAGCATTATGCATTTTACTGTTGACTTGACCTGATAAACAGATTACACTCAGTCAAGGCTGTCTTCCCATTAACAATGTTGATGGTAATTGCTCTGTTGTTGATTGTGTAGGAAGATAGTCGTCATCGGCATCCGTCTGTCTCGAGACGATGGAGTAGCACGGTGCACTACGAGCTTGGGCGGGATATATGGCGAACTAGGGCTGCCAGGATGTTTAGTTCCCCCTCTCGGCCTTGCTAGTAGAGTCCAAAGGAGAGGATAAACCAATACAGTTTGGTACCAGCGTGGTTGCAGAAGTTGCTGGAAGGTAGCATAAAGTGCCATCTATCTGCCTTAGGGGCTCCACTCTGGGTTTGAATTCAGAGTTGTCCTTCTCCTAGGCCAGTTGCCATCAAGGCTATAGAACCCAGTTTGTCCTGCTATTTACCCATAGCTGGAGGGGGAAGATTCACAGCTTTCCCAAGGGTATTAGCACGTAAGTGAATGTAATGGATTCGACTGGAATTTGAACTCTGCTCTCCGATTCCTCAATCCAAGCCACTATCCATTACTCCACCGTGCCTCCTCGGGAAGTTAGTACCAGAGACTAAAATGGGAAGTTAACAAGTGCCAAGATCACCTGAAACATTTCTTAATGGTCTGAGCAACATAGTTGACATTCTTATTTTCATGATGGATGATACAGCAAATATTGAACAAATTTAATGTTGCTCAAGGCACAGAATTTGGAAATTTCCTCCTCCCTCATGAAACTGCTGGCATTATCAGACACAATTATATTGTGGAATTCCATGAGTAACAAATATGCAATGCAACATTTGTTCCATCAATGGCAAAGATGGAAATTATACTAAATGAACTTCTGTGTGTTTATTGTCGGCATTCATTGGGCCTGCAATGTCTGTAACTGACTAGCCAAAGTTATTTTCATATATATGGGAATGTATGACAGTGGAAAGTCTTTGTGTGATGTTTTGTCTTTAGGACTTTAGAGGAATAAATTTATGCTGGTGCGACAGGTGCACAAACGAGGGGTGCTGGTAATTGGGGGGGGTGTACATATTGTTCAGTTTCTAAATACATATTTCATGCTATTTCTAGTTTTTTTTTTTTTTGTAATAACTGGTTATTTTGATAACCTTGAATTACGAGATAACAATTTTGTAAGAATTTGATCACTAATGTAAATTTATTTTCCAAATAAATCTTACAAATCTTATGAATTATTACTTATTTAGATTTATTTCATTTTAAATCCCTTTATACTCTTAACATTCTTGACAATTATAGACAGTCATTTTGCCCGTGTTTGTGGGTCAAATCTGTTAGCATTATTAGGCTGTCATGAGTAATTTGTTTTGCGGAACCAATTTTAATACTTTAAAAAAAAAAAAAAGTTCCTAAACTGAAATTATTTAGGACTGCTCAATTAAACTGCATTCATTTTTTTTTTTTTTTTTTTTTTTCTTCAACAGGGCATGGAGCTGGCCATAAAATCCGAGATCTCTGAACATAGTATACAACAGTAAGAGTAATCTGCTGTTTATGATTTGGGTAAATTTTTGGTTTATTTAAAATTCCATAAATTTTGACTAGTCATAGCTTTTTTTTTTTTTTTTTTTTTTTTTTATTCCTTATTCCTAAATGTTAGGTTACAGTTGTTTTAACAAACCTATTGCTCTTTTTGCAGAGGTTTTCTAGAACTATAGAAGGAAAGAAGTTGTGCAATATTCAAAACTATTAAGTGAAATGACTTAAATAATCTTACGAAAAGTTTAATAAACCTGGAGAAAAAGTGTAAGATTAATGTTTACCATTTGAGATTGACTCCTTTTAGATTCTTAAGTGTGCAAAACACTTTATAGATTCATTCTTATAGGAATGTATCTCTTAAAGTGTTTAGCCCATGCTCTCAGACACAACCATAAACTCAATCTTTTTGTCCTCTATTGGATTTAGACAAAGATTTCAATTTTTTAAAAATTGACAAGCATTATTTATTCACAAATTAAGGAATATTGGCTAAAATATTCAATTTTAAAAATGTACGCACACACACACACACACATCTTGTAAAACATTGCTAAACTGCCACACATTTTCTTTTTGTTAAAAAAGGATAAATCCTTGATCTGTAAACTGATGTCTCATTTTAAAATTTACTTGCATAAAACTTTTTTCACAAATATTGACATTTTTGTGTTTTCATTGATAGAATTACGTTAAAAAAAAAAAATCCCTATTCAAGATAAAACAATGAAATTTGGCATGTATGTATAAAATTTTCTGGTGAATGTCATGAAACCATTAAAAATAAGAAAGCTTACCATTTGAGCACCTCATATAAGTTTAATGAACTGACCCCTTAATTAAATTTGTTTAATTTGCAATTGCTCTCTCCTCTAATGTTCCAAAATGAAGTGTTTATCATCCATACAGGTGGAGAACAGTAACAAAAAAGATTTACTAAGAAGTTCATTAATAATTAAAAAGTACTTTGTATTGTCATAAATATTTTAAAAGCAAGGGAAATATGAAGCCGAGAACCAAGGTTGGGAACAATCTCAGATTAAACTGTTGAATATAAAAACCACATTTCTTCACAAAAATGTTTATATATAAAAACTGAGCGTAGCTAAAAATCACCAAATAAGTAACTCATTGGACAATTTTAATGTCGACTGAATTCAGAATTAATAATAATAATAATAATAATCTAAGGGAAATGTTTTATGAGCAATCTCTGAATTAATGTGATGACAGATTTTTGTTTAATAAAACTTATCACCTGAAAAAGTTAACCAAAAACGAATTTGGAAATGTTTACAATTAAGTTTAAAAAAAAAAAAAAAAAAATTATTATCATTATTATAATAATAATTATTATAATAATAATAATTATAATAATAATTATTATTATAATTATTCACCTGATTCTTTAATTCATGTTTCATTAAGATTTTCAAACAAAGAAATTATTTTTCCTACCTAGAGAAAAAAAAGGCTTTCATGTTAAAATGTAAACAAGCTAAAGTATGTTTAGAAAAATCAGATAACATTTTTTTATAGCAAAGTTTGTTTTTTTTTTCTAGTGCAATAGTGCATATTTTACTTGAGTTATTCCCTTAATATTTTTAGGCCATCTAATTATAAAAGCACTTTTTCATCTGCAGATTAAATGTTTGAATTTAAATTTCTAATAACGACATCTCCCTTGTCCCAATGAAAAATGTGATGTTAAGGTGGCAGCTTCAAGTGGCGAGAACAAATGGATGATTTTCAGTAAATCTTTGTTAATGGTGTGTGTTTGTTTTGGATTTCCAAAGAACTTTCTGGACAGATAGGATAATTACATGAAAAAAAAAAAAATAACTGGACCACAGCAGTTGAACTTTGATAACTGATTATGGCGAAACTATTTGATCAACCAAACCGAACATATACTACCTTAAAAAGCATTCTTTTCTCAATTTTTAAAGCCAAATTTGACCAAATTCCCACCACTGTGTGCTTTGGAATTGAGCTAAACATACTAGTACTCTTTATCGTGCTCGACCAAAATTGAAGAAAAATGGTTTTATGATATTCTTTTTTTTTTTTTTTTTTTTTATCTCGCTGATAAAAAGTTATAAAAACACAATACACATATAAACAACAATGATAAACTTTTCGATAAATCAATTTCCTTTTGTTTCATGTATGGTTTGACAGGATTTTATGGGTTTATAGCAATTCTATGAGTCTTTCCGGTGCCCCCCCCCCAAGAAATTGCTGTTTTAGTGATGTTTTACAAGCAGTGAGCATTGCTAGTTTAACTTTGACTTTGCTAATATTATTTAAATGCCTTTCCTCTTGCCAATTAATTTTTCTAATAGAAATTGATTAGATCATTAATGAGAATAAATTATTTGATTATTCTAAATGGTTGACTAATTTTCTTTTCTTTTATTTTGCAGAATTTTTATGTATGTATGAAAGTGAATGAGAAGATATTCCTAGACTGCCTGGATGGTGTTGATACTGTAGTTAACAACAACAACTGCCACCACCATCACCAACCAGCTGTTGCACAAAACATAAACCTTGACACTGACACACCAGCTGTGTGCCACAAGTGATAGCAAACAACACAAACTTGAACACTAAAGAAACCACAGCCCATAATGATCACCATTTACCACTATTGTCACTGTTAGCATTTGCTGTTGAATGTTAGCTGGAGTGGTAGGTGGCTGTTGGCAGAGATGTCCTGTGTCTGGGTGCTTTTTCTGACACCAGTTGTCTTTGCATGTGTACCTGTGTGTGAACGAATGAGAAATTCAAGGGGAGGTGGAAAAAAGAGGTGGCAACAGAAATAGTTGCATATTTAAAAACAAAAAAAAAAACAAAAAAAAAAAATGATAGGGGAGTACTTACTCTCTCTCTCTCTCCTCTTTATTTCTTTTGTTGCTGCTACTGTTCTTGTTGTTGTTATCCTAATTCTTCTCTCTTGCCTGCTAATGGGCAAACATCATTTTGCAATCAGTCCACATGTGACTGCTTTCAACTTAGGTAGATGACTGACCGACTTGACTGATTGACTCCTCAACTCTTATTAAAAGCAAGATCTTGTGGTAGAGTGGGTGATTATGGCAGGAGACTGATTACGATCTGGAGAGTCCGAGAAAAGATGAAACAATGGAAAAGCCCTTAAATCAGAATTGGGGGTGGGGGAGTAAAGCAAAAATTTCTCCATTATCAAAGTTGTAAAATTCATTGTTACTTTGATGTGCCCCCCCAAAAAAAAACCTCTTGGATAGCATGAATAACACTAAAGGCAATAATTTATCTTGTTCTATTTATCTTTTGAATTTGATATGTTGCTAATGTCATACTGAATTCACTTTGTGTATATATAAGAAAAGAATTCTTCTAAAGTAATTACATTTGTGTATTACTAAATATTACTAATGTTAATTCTTATTAAAATGACTTGAAATACATAGTGTACAGTTTCTTTCTAAGTATGTATACAAGAAGCGAGGAGATAAAGATTGAAAAGTAAATAGCTAATATCTGAATATTTTAAGACATTTGCACCTCTTTAAAAAGGACTTAATTTTCTTTTGATTTCTTTCATAATATGATACAAATATTGTTACTTGTTTCCTTTAATTACCTTTGCCCAAACGCAACTGTCTATATAAATATAGATAATGGAAAGTTTCATCCATCAGAATCTGTCTTAATGCCTTGCTAAATAATCATCTTAGGAATATTAACTTCCATATGAGTGAATTAAGTTACTCATACAATTACTAAACAGTATCATATGTAATCTTGAATTTCAGCATTAAAAGAACAGTCCTTCAAATTTTGTAACCCTTAATTCATTTAAAACTACTTATCCTGTCCTAAGATAAATTTGTACTTCATATTCATTTTCAATTGTGTTATGAAGACTTGAATTCAGGAAGAACTGGCCAAATCTATTTTGATAACAAGAAAGCAGGCTGCTTAACAGGATTGAATAAAAGATCATTTTTTTAATAAATTTCAAAATCCACTACAAGGAAACAAAATTGCTGTTCTTTGCATGTATTATATAAATAAAACATTAATATTAAATTTATACAGGATTTTAAAGTGTGTATTATTTTATATATATATATATATATATATATATATATATATAAACCAGGTTTCCTTATTTTGATATTGGAAGATATAGAGGGAGGGGTGATGTTTTTGTTTTCCTTTTTAAAACTCTCCAACACCAGTAAGTGGTTAAACATTTATCAGGCTGTCCCCCCCAAATTTATTACTGATTTATGAAGTTGTATAAAACCGCAAAGGAAGGTTTTGTTTTTATTGGGCAATTTGTCATGTAGCAAAATCTCTTTTCCTCTTATGGGCTGTTTTAGTCCCTTTTTCAACTTGAAAATTAAATTCTTTTTAGAGGGATTTAGTGAACTCGGACTTATTACAGCCGACCAATTAGCATTGGATTTTTTTAATGAAAAGCACTCCCCAGTGAAGTATTGATATCTGACCTTCCATCGAATAGCCGAAAGTAATCAGTTTTTCTTGACCATGATTTCTGCCACTATCCCTTGCAATTAGACCCTAACTCCACTGATAGGACTAACAGACATGCTAAATTCAGCATTTAATGATGAGATGTTAGACTTTTCTTGCCTCTCCTCTATGCACTTTGAGATTCTATTTTTTTTTTTCTTCAATGTCCATTTTTGTGAATATGATTGTTGTTCTAGTTATGCATTCTGAACAGAAGCTTCATCAAGTTACAGACGTCAATACAGATATTTACTGTGTGTTTGTGTGTAAGAGATTTGTATAATTTCTCTCTCTCTCTCTCTGTATAACTCCAACTGTTTTTCCTCTCTTATTGGCCTCCTTTTGTTTCTCCTGTGTTTGTGTTTCTGCAAGAAATTGTCTTGTTATTACTGTCTCCCTTTCAGTGCTTGTCTTTCTTCAAAATTGACTTCTCCTTG